CTCCTTAGCAAGGGAGAAGAGCACCATATATTTAGGAGAAGGAATTAGGTCTTGGTAGAAGCACTGACACTTCCTATATAAAAGAAAAGGAGGCTGACAGGTGAGGAGATTCAAAGTGGAAAGATAGAGTTCTTCTCTGACTGGTACTTAGTTATCAGGTAAGATGCTGAGCTGAGTGGACTGGGGTATAGCATGTGCTAAATGAAGTCTTATTGAGAAGTTTGTGGCAGTGTGATGCCAAATTACAGCAATGCCTGGATAAATACAGTCTGATTCTTAGCATCCATTTTAACCAAGATGAGGGTTGGAACTGTATTGAGAATTTGTTCTTCAGATTTCTCTCGGAACTTTGCTCTTAAAAAAAGCCTTTCATTTTTCATTCAAACTGTACAAACCAGTATAAAATGGGGAAGGAAAGACAGAATTTGTCTTATTACAGAATGTTCCCTCTCTACTCCTACTGATCTATAACAGCACACATAATCACAAACAGATGCTGTAAATCTAATTCCATCTATTGTTTGCAACATAATGGGATAATTTGTTGCTTTCAACAAGTATCTGCTTGATAGTCACAACATGTGCACACATATACATAGGTTATTCTACATCAATGGGAAGAAAGGGTCATGAGGAATTAAAGCTGTATGTTTAGCCTATATAACGACTCCTGATTATCAAATAATAAGTGCAATATGATTCAGTCTTACTCCTGAAGCTGATAAGTTTCAATTTTGTTGGACTGTAAGTCCAAACTCTACCTAAACACAGAATAGGGACATGCAAATCCATGCCTCGTGACCACAGACTTTTTAATAAACCAAAAGACCTGTGGGCTTTTTCTCATGCAGCTTTAAACCTGGCTCACTGAGCCTATATTCCTCAATTTCTGAATTTTTCACAAACCCTGTGGGCTCTCTGTATTCTCGGGTGTGCGTGTGTGTGTGTGTGTGTGTGTGTGTGTGTGAGGGAGGGGGAGGATTGGAGGGAAGGAGTACTATTTAATGAATAGTTGCATTAAATCCCATTTATAATGAATATACCTGCTCCAGAAAACTGCTTGATGTTTTTGGTTTTTTGTTTTTGCTGTTTTTTTTTTTTTTAAAAAGAATGCCTTCTTATATTATTTTGAAAGCTAAAATTCAATCATTTCAAATTTGGGCACATTCTGTAAGACAAATCTAATAATAATGAAAATATTTACTGTTTTAGTTTAATTATTAGATAGAGCTATTAGGAGCATATTAGAAATATATGTGTGTTACTGGTTAATTTCTTTATGTACAACCTATTTATCAAAAATCATAAACATATAATTAGCAACTTACTACAGTGTATGTGGGAGATTTTAAGTTTGGTAATGGATAGAATGGAACTTCAATATTCTAGTTTAGTAAAATCTTTCTGCTTAAGAACATTATTTAAATTATTAAGATGGTTAATATCTAATCACTCAGATCTAATCACATTACGAGTTGTTGCTAGTCTTGGACTATGCAAACTAAACTTCGCAAATCACAATAGGTAGACTTCTGTTTACACATTTCTACCACATTTTTAAGACAAGAAATATTTTCTATGAATAGAAAAAATGAAGTTTTTTTTCTTTCTTTCTTAACCTTTTATTTTGAGACACAGTTTTACTAATTTATTCAAGTTGGCCTCAAATGAACTCACTCTGAAACTGGCTCTTGAACTTGCAGTCATCTTTCCTTATCCTCCCAAGTAGCCTGGATTACAAGCCCATTTTATTTCAAGAGATCAACTACAAAGTATAGTAGAAAAAGTTCTGATGAAATTGTCAAATAACCATTTATCAATAAAAATTAATCTAAATACCATCAAATTATACTGCATGAACACTGCAAAACTTCAATAAAAAATTACAAAGAAATTATTTTCAATGACTATGGCATGAAAATTATAGTGTACCTTTGAATAAACCTAAGACATAAAATGTTAACATTTTAGTAAGTGTCATGATAAATGGGGAATAAACCATGTGAATTAATTTAAAGGCTTAATATTATAAATGTATTACTTATCTGATATTAGCAATGAAGTTTTAGAAAAACTAGTATAAGAAACTAAAAATACCCTTTTTCATTTTTTTTTAAAAAGTGCTGTTCTAAAAGTAGGCCAAATATTTAACATCAGCATTAACATGTACTAATTAAGCAAGATTACTTTGAAAAAACATGTGGAAGTTCTACTCAGTGAAGTAAAACTAAAGAATTTGTGATCTATTTACTACCTATAAGTTGGTGTCTTTTCTGGAAGATTCTCTTTGGCTAGAAATAAAGTCTGAAACATTATTTGCTTAATCAAACTATAATGGAATTTCTATGAATTTTATTTGAAGACTACTATATATTAAGGGTTTTTTTGTCCATTTGAGACAGGGTTGCCCTGTAGCCCCAGCCCGCCTGGAACTCACTAGTAGACCAGGCTGAACTCAGCAGACTGCCTGAGAGTGCCTCCAGAGGGTGTGGATCCAGTCTCCCTGTGGTTACTGGGATTACCTGAGGACCCTCCCACAGCCCCAGGGTCAGAGCTCTAAATACTACAACAGGATAGGGCTGACACCTTAGCAGATAGCCTTAGAGTGTCTGATCTGGCCTCCACCTGAGAATGCCTGGATCTGGTCTCCCCTTAGAGAATTTCCCATTTGTGCTCGGCCTCTAGTAGGGGTCCAAACAATAGAAGGAAGCCTGAGTCTACCTGACTGGAGCCTGACTTGTGCCTCTGTAGAGCTCCTGAGTAGCTGATCTGGTGCCATCAATTCTCTCCAAAACACAATCTGAGATAACCTGAAACCTAAATCAACCAGCTCTACACACCCAATAAGAAAACTAAGGCACACCAGTAATACAAACAGAAGCAAACATCAACTCAAAAAAGAAAAGCTTGATTTTCATACCAGAATCACAAACAACAAAAGAAATTCACATGCCAAAATGATAACGAAAAAACGATTAAATGGAAAACCAAAACAGTATGTTCCCCCAAACTCCACAAGTCCTGTAGAAGAGTTTTACAAGGAGAGGCCCCTAGAAATAACCCAGGACACAGTGAGAGACCTGAGTGACTCCATCTTGGATAAAACCTCCATGGGACTGACCCAGCCCTGAGCCCTGTTAAACCACAATACTTGGAACGGATAGAAAACAACTCCCCCGCCAATGGTCAATTAACCATGGACAGGAAAGTACTAAAAGTCCAGATGTCTTTTCAGATTTCCTGAAGCCAGCAGTTTATGGTTTGGCACTGAGCTGCAACCAATCAGATACTAGCCAGGCTGGAGACCCCCTACTCCCCTACTTGCTGAACTTGCTGAAATAAACTATAAAAACCTCTGTTTCCCAAAGCAAGGGGTCTCACATCTGAGATCCGCTGGGTCGGTGACACAGTGGGTCCAAGCTTAAGCTTGTAACAATAAAAAGCCTATGTGAGTTTTCATCAGTCGGTTCCTTGGTGGTCTTTGGGGTCTCGCAAACTGGGCACAACAACAGAATTTAAAAGAATTATAAACATGCTCAAGGAATTCAATGAATTTAAAGAACACACAAAGAAATAAAAAAACTAAAAGATAGGGATAAACTTCTGATAAAAAGATAGAAACATTAAAGAAAACAGGCTGAAATGAAGAAGGAAGT